TCAGTCTATGTTATGTGTGGACAACTTTAGGATTCACTATATTCATAATCTATGATTTGTTATCATTGATCATGAAACTTTGTTTGGATTATTATCAAAAAACACAAGTCTCTCATTGTTCATAATTTTTTTATTTTATTGGTTTATATATTTAATTTTTTGTGATAAGCTAAGAGTTTATAAATTTTTGTGAACTATGTTTGATTTGTTTTGGACAAACAATTATATGTTTTTTGTGTTACTAATCTATGATGCTATATTATTTATATACGATTATATATCAATGATAAACAAATTTATATCTGATTATTTAGTTATATAGATTTACAATAGTATATCGTGAAAATTGATGTATAAGCCATATTAATGAAAACTTACAAATACCAATTTTATCTTATAGATATGAATATGCTTAATCTTATCATTTTTTATGATGAAAAATGTGATTCGAACAACCATTATATCAATGATTCATACCTTGAAGCATTATGGAAGATGCAACTTTATACCTTAATGTCATGGAAATTATCTACAAAAAACTATGATTGAATGCAAGTCATGAGGTCCAATTGATGGTGCCTTTTGATATTGAAACTTTAACATATAGCATTTTAGAGGTAAAAAATAACAATGATTTTGATGTGGTATTTTAATTCATCGAGAAATTTTAATCTTTTTAACTTTCCATTGATTATCTCTATTTTTAATGGACCTTTACCCATACAATAAGTATTTGAACCTTGTTATTAAGGAGCTAGTTCCTTAATTTTGTGTTCTTCTACATTTACCAATAATAAGCATTGTAGTGGAGTTGATGAGTTTTTGCAAATGGACGATATTAATGAGGGAGATGCGTGTTTTAGTAAATTGGATATTCAAAAGTTTTGCAACTCTTAACTGTGAAGAGGAATTTTGAATACAAAACTCTTAAATCAAATGGTCAGAGGTTTGATGTTGCTTGCAGTGTTGATGGTTGTAAATGGTATGTGCAGGCCTCAATGGTTTCTTCTTGCTCAAGTTTAAGTCATTAGACGGTATGTTAGAGACTATACTTGTGTTGTTGATGTCACACATGGTGATCATAGACAAGTAACAAGCCTTATCATTAGGGAACGTGTAATGCAAAAATCTTCTACAAGCGGTTCAATGTATGAACCATCGACATAATGATTGTTTGAATCCTATTTTTCACAATAAAAAATGACAATATTAAACATCTCCATATCTACAAGATAAAATGATATTGGTAAGTTTTCATTAATATGGCTTGTATATGAGTGATATACAATAGTATATCACTGATATATTATTGCAAATCAATATAACCAGAAAATCATACATAAACTTGTTTATCATTAATTTACAGCCATATATCAACGATGTAGTATTACAAATTAATAACACGAAAAACATATAATTATTTGCCCAAAACAAATCAAATATAGTTTGCAAAAAATTCTGAACTCTTAGCTTATCACAAAGAATCAAATATATAAATTAATAAAATAAAAATCATGAACAATGAGAGACTTGTGTTTTTTGATAATAATCTAAATAAAGTTTCATGATCATTGATAACAAATCACAGATTATGAATAAATGAACACTATTCAATGAAGATGTTATGAAGAAATATAAAGATAGTGAATAATAGATAAAAGATCCTAACTTAGTCTTCTATCTCAAGAAATGAGAAGCAAAACCAACTTCAATCAGAGTTTTAATTATATTTTCACCAATGTGAAATCCTAAAAGTTTTCCTACAAACATTATTATTATCTAAAAAATATTACATTTTGTTTTAAATTATTAGGTGCATATTATACGAAATTCTAAATCATGGACCAGTTATGTGCGATATATTGTTTCTATTTTGGATATATAGCACTAAAAATTTTAGATATTTGTTGAGGGGAGTTTTTGTAAGGTAGAGAAGGAATATCGCATTTTAACTAAATTTGTAAAGGGCCATGCTCTAAATTTTTATAATTCTATCCACATTTTTTAGGGGCTATATATTTTATGGCCACTGCGCCAATTTTCTCTTTTTTATTTTAGTATATAGAATATAATTGATATGTCTTCCATTTATAGGTACACATATATCAATTAAAATAAAAAAATATAAGATAATAAAAATTGAAAGATATTATAGTACTCCCTCCGTCCAAAAATGTAAGACATTTTTTGAGGAGTTAAATGTTAAAAAATATAAGGCATTTTTAGTCTTTTGAAGTGTAATCATTGCCTTTTTAAGGTGTCCCTATTGATAGTGACTTTATATTTACTGTAGGTATTTAATAGAGATAAATATGAAAAGATAGAATTAGTTTAAAAGTAGGTAACCACTTATTGAGGGTGAGATTAGATTAAAAATGCCTTATATTTTGAACAAAGGGAGAAACTAAAAGATATGGGAGAATTTAATATATTGAATATTCACATAATATCTTAATATTTATAACATAATGATTTATTAAGAACATTTATTTTAAAAATATATTAATATATTTTAAAATATTAAAATATTTATATTTTTTAATATTATATTTCTTAAAAAAAAAAGAGCCGAAATCCTTGAATGGAGGGAGTAAAATACAAATATATAGAGGATAAAGAGAAACAGACAGGGGAAGACGAAGAGATTGGGACAGATATACTGTACCGGATAAAAACACACCTCCGCACCGGATACGACATCGGGGTGATAATGCCACGTGTCCAATAGACTTTCAAGGACGACCATTGGATTACGCCACGTCATGGAAGATGAACAGCAGGCTTCCGAAAAGTGATGCTCTGCTTGGGCCATGGGCGCGTGGCAGAATATGGTTGGAGACAGTGACCGGTGATAGATTCGTGTTCCTTGCCAACTTGTTCGCTTGGCTCCGAGATTGGATATTTTCTCACCTTCGAATTTAGGAATTTGAGAAAGTTTGAATACGAACTCGTCTTCAGAGTGGGGGAACATTAAAATTCCAAGCCAAAATTGTAAAAGGAAAATTACAGTTAGATTCGATGACACTAAACTAAAGACAGTTAAAATCTTGATAATTTTTTAAAAAAATTAATTTAAAATACTAATTCAGATAATTATAAATTTAATAGTTTTAATTATAGATAAGTAATTAAATATCAAATATAACTTTTACATTGTAACAAAAATTTTTATTTATCAATGTTTGAATTGATATTTATAATTTATTTTATAAAATATTTTATAAAAAATTTAATTATCATTAATTTAAAATTATGAGATTTAACTGTAAATCTTTCAATTTTAAATGTGAAATCTCAATTCTCCCGAAGTGACATTTATATTTATTTATTTATTGTGTGCTGCAAATGAATTACTCAATCTCTTTTATACATACTCCTTCTGTTTAAAAATATAAAATATTTTTAAAAATAAATATTTTAAAAATATAAGGTATTTTTAATCTTTTAAGATGTAATTATTATATTTTTTTTAAAAGTGTCATATTGATAATGACTTTATATTTATTATAGGGTATTTAATAGAAATAAATATAAAAATTTAGGGTTAGTTTAAAGTATGTAACTATTTTATTGAAAGGATGGAATTCGATTAAAAATATCTTATATTTTTAAACGAAGGGAGTAAGACATTTCTACTTAATATTTCTTTTGTCTCAAATTATAAATTATTTTAGGATAAAGTCTTATATATCAATAAAATTTATTAAATATACTTTATAATTTTACTTTTTTAAGATAAAAATATAAACTTTTAAAAACATTTTCATTTAATACTCGATTAATAAAAGAATATTGAAGAGATATAATATATGAGAAGGGTTATATAAAAAAATATCATTAATAAAATTTATTTTTATTAAATATCTTATATTTAAATATTAATTTTTTAAAAATATTTTATAATTTGAAACAGAGAAAGTACTTATTTATTTAGAAAAATAGTTGGATAATAATATTCTAAGTTTTTTTTTTTCAATTTCTCTTATTTAGTCTCAATAATTAATAATTTGTTCTCACTGGGAGATGAGTACTATCATGGCCTCGATAATTGAATTTTTAACCATGACTGAATCAGAACTTCTGATAAAGATGAAATGACAACAATTAACAACACAAATTGATATCTCTCTCTCACACGATGAGTGAAAAAGGGAAGGTTAATAAATAACAATCAAATGTTGTAAAAGCAAGTTTATATCAACTCAACTTTGGCGAAAACATTTATTTTTTAATATATGTGTGTGTTTTTAATGAAGCTAACTTTAGTTGCCATGCAGAGAATTCAACAAAACTGTTTAATAAAATAGACCTCTAAATAGTAGAAAAATATATATATTTAAAAAAGGGCATGTGTTTAAAACAGTGAAGTACCAAATCTAATTTAATACATTAGTTTGATGGATATCTGTTGCATAAACCAAAACGGAACGGATGATTCCCAGACAGCTGAGGTAGGCGTGGGAAACATTTGTAGTTGATGAACACTTGTTAATAAACTTTTAATCTAGCGACACCTATTGTATCTTTACAATCCTATCTTCTGTAGTAGAAAGTTACAAGTATCAAAACTTTCATTTGGCTAGAGGGAAAAATATTTTGTCTGTAGTGACAAGAGCCCAGAATTTTTAGAACGATAGCATACGTATAGATATATTTTACGAGAATATTAAAACTAGAATTGTTAAATAATGAAAATCATTTATATAAACTATACAATTAAAATACAGCAAAATGAAAATTTTAGTTGGGCTCTTGCCCCCTACATCGTAGTACCAGAAATATTTGCAGGTGGGATCGCTTCCGCGAATGAAAAGAAATAAAAATAAAAATAATACTCCATGTGTTCTTCGTATATTTGAGCCCATTTCTTTTTATTAAAAAATATTGCAAATATCAGAAACACTGGACATTGGCCAACAATGCAGGGAGGCACTATAAAAAGGCAATAGGTGAAGAGGCCGAAGCCAAGATAAAATCGCCCGACACGAATAAATCTTAATACGAAATCGTCAAATCCTCTTTACATCTTCAACCACTATTGCTTCAATTCTAGAACTCCCAAGAAAGATGTCAGCCCATTGCGAATTCTCGCATTCTGTAGCACCAGAAACATTCAGCACCACACCAACTTATTCTTCTTCTTCATCATCAACAGGAACATCGAACTCCGGGAACAAGAAGAATAGCGATTGCAAGAGAAGGTTCAGTAAGGATCAAATAAAGTTACTGGAGTCCATGTTCGAGACTGAGTCCAGGCTTGACCCCTCAAAGAAGTCGCAGCTAGCTTCAGAACTTGGCTTGCAGCCTCGCCAGGTGGCCATTTGGTTCCAGAACAGACGAGCTCGATCCAAGTCCAAGCACCTTCAACGTTCTTACTCTCTTCTCCGAGCCAATTACGACGTTTTGGCTTCCAAATTCGAGGCTCTTGAGAATGAGAATCATGCATTACAACTAGAGGTACTGCAAAAACTCTTTCGTAGTTTGAATTGCATGTTAGTCACTTAATGCGGTACCCTTTTCCAAGCAGAGGCTAATGATGACGATTGTGCAATCCTGAACAGTTGCAGAAGCTCAAGGATTTGGAAGACCAAACCTTTCGTCGCAAGAAAGTGAAAGATGTGAAAATGATAGATAGAGAGTGTGATAATGGTAATGAAGAGGCCATCAAGTGTGAAGCGGAGGTGAGGCCGAGTCCATCAATAGAAAGATCAGGACAGACACTTGGGATTCTTTCAGATAATGATCGGAGCATAAAGACAGGCTATTTTGGGGTTGAAGATAAACCTACGCTTCTGAACTTTGGTGATAAGCGTACTGATTGTCCCAGGACATCACAAGAAGTTTGGAGAAATTTTGAATCTGCGGATGACCTCTTGGCCCAGTCTGACACTGGTTATCAATGGTGGGACTTGTGGTCCTGAATGAAACAGTGAAGGAAGTTTTGCAAATGGTGATATATAGTTCCGTATTTCTGTTCTTATGAAGTTACATGGAAAAGATCGAGGGCCATACATAACAAAGTGAAGATTTTCTGTTCACATCTTCAGAGTTAGGTAATGGCCAATGCCGAGTTTGCATCGAGTAAATTAAACTTGAAGGGCATAAGAATGGATTAAGGAAAGGGTCAAAAGGTCTGAGGAAATGGGATGTTTGATTTAAATCTGAATGAGGACAAATATGCAAACTAAACCTTCCTTTTCTTCCACTTTTCCTCTGCTATTTGTTAATCCAAGTGCACTGTTAGGAGTGTTTTTTAGCAGACTAAAAATGGCAGGTAAAGAGCAATGCAAGTTACATGCATGTACGGATGTACCTGTTCAAACAGAGACCTGGAGGTAGTAATATGATCAGGATTGAATCCAAACCAAAGCTTTTTGTATTTAATCGTTAAGAAATTTGCTTCTACACTGGCATGCTGGCTGGTTTCAAATGGCATTTGACATCGGAAATAAGGTGAGTGCGACACAGCATTCTATTACTGTCAATGACCAGTTGGGTTGCACGACATGAGAAAACATTATTATAATTAATTGTAACCTCTGCGTTAAGACTACACTCACCAATTAATAGACGATGATTCTAATAAAATGGACCATGTCTCATCAAGTTTAAATGCTCATAAGTGCACAAAACATTTTTACGAGATCTACCCCTTTTAGGCCCAATAAGGCTTCAATCTAAAACAACTCGGATATTCGTTAAAAGCAAAGAAGCTACCGGCATTCCAAAACCAGGTGGTGTCGTTTTCATGATAATTGCCAGATAAACGACCAATCGTTTAAGCCATCATTTGACATTTCTTACCAGCTTAGCCTTCTCAGCCTGACAGTCTCCTGCCCGAAGTCTCGTCTTTCCCTCTACTCGCTAGCTCGGTAAAGCGTATGAAATTGCAGGGACATTCGTAAGTCGTGATGAACAATTTGTCCAATGCGGCTTTGAGAGACGATAGAAAACATTTTTGCAGCTTCAAACCCATTCCAACCCTCGCTCTTTACATTTTAATACCCCTTTCTTGTTGGGTCTTGCCGTTTCTGTCTTCTTTCTCATTGTGGTTCGAAATGCAGCTTTCTTCGTCTCCTTCGTTTTGCTCTTTTCTCTCTTTTTCGCTTTCATAGGTTGGAACACCCACAACTGGAGGAAAAAAGGTGCAATTTTTCTCTTCTTCCGCTCTTTTCCTGACTCTGACATTCGCCGTGCTAAAGAGGGTCAGCTCGTAAAGATAACCGGGGTACTATTTCTGTGAACCTTAACTCCTATTGTTGATTGCAAGTTCTGGGTTGTCATAGCATGTAATGGGGAATTAAGGGAGTTCAAAAGTGACGAATATCCTTTCAAGACATATGAGGGTAAAACTCTGCTGCTTTATACTTGTCGGCATCGAAGAGAATAACTCCTCTTTCAATCTCTTGTATTATCAACATGTTTGACTCCATTTAGCAGTTAGAATAGTTGTTTTTGGATGTGTTATGTTCTGCTAGAATTGAGAGATAATCAATGTTCAAATGAAGTTTTGGTTTAACGATTCCTGTTTTAAAAGAAAAACTTTGGAAGCTAATAGCATCTCTTAGCTGCACCCAGGAACCTTCATTTCACGTTTAAGTTCATGGATCCTGTAAATGTACTTTTCATCAATACTTCATTCTCCTTCCTACAGTTAATTAGTCCACTTTCTACTTTATTTTCTCTCGGGTAAAGCACATCTACAGCAATTAGCTGAATTTGAGGGACAGTGTATATACTTGTTTAGAATGGTCGCATTCCTTGTCAACGTTGTCAATTCCGTGGCTCTATGCTTGCAGTGAGAATCATAGAAGTCCTTGAGACAACTATGCCAATGTATTGTTGTGCTTGTTGTTTGATTCAGATAAAGAAAGAGTAGTCTGCTCCTTTCTGCCTCTTTCTTAGTCTTAGTAAATTAAGGATTTTCCATGTGGTCACATTAGCAACTTATTTCCTAAAATGATCTTACTTCATGACTTTCCTCATTATGCATGGAAAGTTGCAATTTATCAGTTGCAAAGTCGCTATCAGAATTAGGTTAATATTTTGTTCTACTTAATTAAAGGTCCCATCACATTTGGTACTGATGACGATTTCAGCTTGCAACTTGTGGCAGTGTCTCACTGGAATCTTCATATGAAAAGGCAACCAGATGCGTCTATGCATCCACCCTTTTGTATGAATGCAGAGGATTTAGCATGAGACCAGTGAATATAAACAAATCATGCTTTCGTTGGAATTTAGCTTATTGTGAGGTATGTGAGTTACTAGGACTAATTTTTTTTTTTTAACAAATTTCTTATTCTCAGGATTTCCAGCTCTGTTTTTCATGAAAATGACAATGCTTATTTTTATAAGTATGTTTAGTTTAGTTCTGACCTCTTGTTCATCAATTAATATGAGTTGACAGAATTTTCTGGCTGAGATGTGGACATTTCATTAATTTCATTTTTTCAAAACTACCTTGTCATGTCTTTGGCATTGTAATCATAGAAGACGAGGCGAATTTTTTGTTTAATTTGTGCACTGATCTAGGCGCCACAATGTGGGAAATAAGGTGGTGCTGATATAGGTCTCAAAGTGAGGTTGAAAAAAACATAAAACAGTAAAGCTTGGGTTGCTGGGAGTGGCAAAGATGAAGATGATTCTATTTCTAGCAAAAGTTTCAACGTCAGCCACGTTCTCTTCATTCATATTTAGTCACGCAAAACGATTCTAAAATAAATGATTACCTGTTTTGACGGTGATGATACCTTGCCTTAATATCTGTATATTGTAAAGCTTTTATTTTAGTGATAGTTGGCATTAAGAAAAAGGACGAATGAGATCCGTCTGTGCCATTCTCTCTTTCTCCCCCTCCATATTTCATCTAGTTTGAAGTCAAGTCAGTTGGTTTTTTCCCTCTCATTACTGATATTCAATTCTGCTTATGAAAGTTTTTCCTTCTATCATGACCATTACAAATATTTCATATAATATGTTTGATTGAAAAAAAAAAAAAAAGAAATTCCTGTTCTAATTTGGGATATCTTAGACTTTTGCCTCCCAGCAAAGCACTTCTTAGTTATGTTAGATTAAATGTATGAAATTTCTTTTATGAAGCCTCTCCCTTGATTCCTGCCTCCTATATTAGTCATGAATGTCAAGAAAGCACTCCTTTTCCTGATCTTATGTTTCTGCACATAACAAAGAGAATGATGACCACATCATCCTACCATGGTGGACATAAAGTCTGCTAGGCATTGCGATGAAAATGGCCACTTCATGGATGAGACAAATAGCACAGCATTCTGTATTGACTTTTGTGCCTGAGTTGATCTGATTATCCGAAAGATCTATTCAGCAGCTTATTTGAACTTATAATTGAAGTAACCCATGGCTGATGAAGTTTAATATTATTCTTCTGGTTAATCCTGACAGAGGTTCTCTACAGACTTTTACATAACAGACCAGAAGTCTGGGACACAAGTGGTGGTGGAAAGCCGGGTCCCGGCAGCAGGGTTATACCATTAATTGCAGAGAGCCAAATTATTCATACCACAGGACAATGCAGAATCTTATCTCCTCACTTGAGAAAATGGTTAAGGACCGTAACCTCTCCGCTGAAGCTCGATTTCTGCGTCTAGAAGAAGGGTAATACTCATGGAAGATTGAAATTATATTATAGCATGTGTTTTACCATCACCTCCTAAATCCTAAGCATGTACATCAGCTCATAGGAACATATGATGGTCTCAATTCTCAAACGCTGAAACAGGATAAAGACACTAGATGATAAACATTTGAAGTGAGCATTTGTAATTTGAACAGTTAATGCCATGTTTGCTAATTGCTTCTAACACATTTTGGATACAGGTCCATGGCTCTATGCAAATCCAGATTTATTGTAATTTTGGAGTGGCTGTATAATATATTGGAGAGAAATAGAGAGGAAAGAGTACAAGTGTGGGAAAAAAATGTGGGCCTCATGTACTGTCTTGCTATTTTGTGACACTTTCTCAATGATTGCATGTTTGGAAAGGCCAATTGGGATCCTGGCTTCATTGGTAGATCTTATGAATTGACATTTCATAAATATGGGCAAGGTATGTACAGGAAGGTAGCTCTGTGACGGTAATTGGAATGTTGCATAGAAAACGATGATATTGTCATGATCATTGAACCACATGGGGTAATTCCACAGGATGTATGTGGCAAAAGCTTCTTCTCCCTGTTGACATTGATGGGCTTCCTAATTGGGATCTCTCAGATGACTGTCCCTGTGACCACCCAAGAGTCAGGCCAGCCCA